TACCAAACTCGGTATGGTTATTGTACTTGCCACGTGTAAGCAAAACGTTGAAAATTATTGAAATCGGACTAAAATAACGGCCGATTCTCATATAACGGTAAATTTAAGAAATGCTTGAAACTTCAATATTTCGAAATTGAAGGACGCTAATTTACTCAAAATTGATACACCTCGGCTTACCATCTAGCGGAAGGTTTCAGAAGGGTGAAAAAACATATATTTAATACTTGCGCCGGGTATTTAATGTTCGGCTCCGCCCGAACTTAGACTTTCTTACTTGTTTCTAACTGGTTTGGCTTTTCACTGCAGGGTGTGTAAGCGTTTGCTTCCTTCTTGGTAGAAATGATGCCTTTGGCAAATTCTCGTGCCGAAATTCTACTATGAAAAAAAAAATCAATGAATTTAATTTCTTTTGTTTGCAGTCAAGCATTTGAATGTGTCTTAAACTTTGTTATAAATAGCGAGAAGTGCGTTAAACACCGCGACCTTTTACGTAATCTATCGCGCCAGATTACACAGTTCGACAAATTTTGACTTTTTTACTACCTGAGTAAAACACACTTCGTTTCTTGCAGATTGTTTGGCACTGAATCCAAATCAGGACGCAGGATTTCTATAGCGGATTTTGAGATATTTAAAAAACCGAGTTTTTGGCACATTGAGATTATAATTTAAATACAACAAATCTCATTTCTTCTTTGAGTATCATTTAGTACTACTGTTTGCCTTCAAAATTCGAGTCATTTAGCTCTGATGGCTCATGTTTACGAAGTAATATCGAATTATTATCGAAATATTGGCCGACTACTTTTTTGGTGGCGGTACTTAATGGGCAGGAAATATAGTTCCACTGCTGAGAGCAGGTGTGTGAGTGAGTGTAGAATAAATAAGCGGTCTGTTGTGATTGCAGCGTTTCAACGTTAAGCTTTTCTTGCATACAAGCCTGATTATGGCAACTTAACTTAACTTAACGGAACGTAGAACTTAGAGAATCAAAATGAAACAGATTTCAATGTGGCATTAAGTTACGTTAAGTTTCGGCTGTTATAATTATAAGCAGCATCCATTTAACAGAATTTTTAAGAGAGCGCCGTAAGTTACGTTAAGTTGCCATAATCAGACCATTATTGGGCGCACAAGAAAGTGGTCCGAGTCGATGTTTGGCCCTCGGAGTGTATGTTCGTCTAAAACGCTGGAAGAAGCATTCCGTCTATCAAAACATAGTCGATCTGGGCATGCATCACGCAGCTTTGACACGATGGTCGTTCAAACGATGTCGTCAAAACGCTGATTAATGTACTTTTGTTGCTTACTATCGTGTCGTCTATCGTTGTGCCGTCAACAGT